ATTTCTAAAGAATTGCCATCCTCCATATTGGAAGTAAAGAAACAGTCCTGTTGTTGAAAAGTTCAACCTGAAACTTCTCTCCATATCTGACCAAACAAATTTTTTTGTTTTGTTTTTTAAAGAACTTTTCAGTGCTTTTCTTGTACTAATATTCTGTCATATGAATCAATGTTAATAAAATTCAGATTATATATGTATTAGCAGTTTTTTCAAAGATCATGGTATTTTTGAAAGCACAATAATACCATTATTTGAATTTTTGATGCTTGCTTGAAGTTCTAGTGGCTTCCAGTCATATAAAATTATACAGTATGCAAAAAAAAAAAAAAAAAAAAAAAAAAGAAAACAGTGAGAAAATAAAAAAATCACAATAAAAACATGAATAGCAATCGTTTCCCTTCAGATATTGTTTGTACAATTGACTATGTTGGAAAAGCATTCATCTCTTTCAAAAATCATTTGAACCGATTGAAATATTCAGAATATTTACTGCAAAATAGAAAATTTATAAAAATGCAAATGCAAAAATAAACTCTTGATTAAAAGTAACAAACAATAATGAATACATCAACTACATGTATGAATAAAAAAATTTGTTGTCGTTTCATAATTTAGGAATTAAGATTGATGAAGACACTAGATATGTACAGAGTATAGCATTACACATGAAGTTTGCAAATAGCATCTTTACCAAATGTAATTTATTTTTTCTGTTAATGCAGGGTCACTATCTAAAAAAAAAGGATAATGAAGAAATTTTTTTCAATCAGGTCTTCAGCATGAACTGCAGTCACTTATTGTGAGTCTGCATTAATTCAGTTCTCAGGGTGAGGGCAACATTTAGGTAAAGTTAGCAGTGACTAATCACTAACATTACTGTAGGTGACTGGTATGTATATTTCTTTTTGAACAGAGATTTTAGAAAGCAAATCAAGAAAATCAGTATTTCATATTAGCTACTTCTAATATAGATTGTCTGGCAACCTCTGATTTGCAGTAAGGATAACAGAAGTGAACATTTGAGAGAACAAAAATATTTAAACTAGTTTGTTCTTTTGTCATTTATCATGTTTTTGTTCAATAAATATACAGATGAAAGATAACTGTTTTTTGTGTCTATGCAAGAGTAATATGAGCTTCAATCTTATTTAGAATCATAAGTCATTTCCTTTTGAAAATAAACCTTTTATAGTTAATTCTAATTATAGTGATCATTAAAATTAACATATTATAAAATTAGGTTAGGGCCTAGGCTATGTGGGGAATGCAAATCCAATTATTGAAAAGTAAAACTGAAAAGATAAATGAAAAAAATGAACAGAAATTAACAAATAAATATTTAAATAAAATTTGCTGCAGCAAAAAAAATCAGTTACAAATATAAACCAAGTTCTGTTAAAAGAAAATAGTTTTACTGAGTGACATTCTATTTAGCAGCAAATATTTTTTTCATTTGCCGTCACCTCCCATGAGTTTGAATTCTTCATTAGAATGTTTTTGCATCTTATGAAAAAAGTCACCTAATTTGTACAGTACAGTGTAACAAATTTTTTTCCCTAAACAATTCTCTTGACAATTAGAAAGTTTTTTTTACGTCTGATAATATAAATTTTATGTATTTAAAGTACTCAATAGAGATTGACTCTATTGAGTCCTTTAGAAAGCACAGATGAAAAGTTTTTTTCGTGTTTGGTATAAATAAATACACTGCATTATTAATTCATGATCCAAGTGGTTACTTTGTTATTCTTCTTAAACAAACAGTGATTACAAAAATGCAATTTTAACTGATTTTAAATGCAGATGTTATTGTTCTAAAAGTCAAAGAGATATATTTTTAAAACATTTAAAAGAGAACCGACACAGGTTTTACTTTTTAATCAATCACTAACAACTGATTTGTAGATGTATAAAGAAAGAAGAAAAATAAGCTATTTATTTAATTTTCAACAGTAGAAAAAAAAGACCATTTTTTTGGTCTTTTTTTTGTGTTTCTTTCATATTTCAGAGTGGAAAAATTATATCACATTAAAAATTGAAGATGTCATGAAGAAGGAAAAGGCCTGTTAAAAAAAGTCATAAATTTGTTTAACGTACACTTTTAAGTTTTTAAGTTTAAAAAGCAAGTTTGTTTAAAAAAAAAAAAAAAAAAAAAAATCAAATCTTAATACTTTGAAAGAGGTCAAAACATTTGTCCGAAGGAAATAGGAGGAGACATATGCAACGAAGATGCAATATGAACAAAACAAGCCAACAAAAAAGAAAAACAAAACTAAAAAACGATGGGTAAAAAAATATTTTGAGATGTTTGAGTCGAGACACCTTGTATATATTTTTTTCGCCCCAGATTCAGTTCTTTTTCTCCTACAACTGCATCAAAGACAAGGGAAGCTGCACAACACCCAGAATGAGAAACATGGATTCGCCCACCACAACACAGCTACAGACGAACCAAAATATTCAATTTTTTTTATTTTTAAATTGTACATACATCTATGAAATTAATAAAATGCATTTGAGTAGGTGATTGTATTTGCAGGTTTTATTCATTTAATTTCAGACTATTCAGCCTGGTTTCCCATAAAGAGTTTATTTCTGACCCCTTTAAAAAAAATAATTTAAATTATCATTTTAGTTTTTTTAATTAAAAACAGATTTAAGTTATTTCGCATAAATGCTTTCTAATGAATATATTTTAATTTTATTGATGAAAGTTAAAAAGTAGAAAAAAAATCGATTTTGCAAATACACGAAAACGGTAAAGATGTCTGGCCTTAGATTAGAACTTGAACCAACCATGTTTATAGAAACTAAACAATAAACATGGCTAACTTAAATGAGCCAACTCTCATCAGATTAACCGCGATATAATCAGAACAGATGATAGGTAAAATAAAATCTGTGACTACGCACATTTCAATGCATATGAATGTGCGTGCATAAGTTATTGCAATGCTAAGTGCATCCTTCGCCATAAAAAGAATTGCAAAGATAAGCCGATTGTAATGATCCTCATCATACAACAAAGAACACTTTTAAAACTGAAAGGATGAATAACGAAGAAGCAGCAACGTACTAAAAAGAAACAAAATTTTATAAAAGAGATTAAACATGTAAAAAATATCATGCGACAAGTAAGTGTTGTTTATAATTCAATTCATTAAAGTAAAGACTAAAGAGAAATGAACAACGTAATCACGATGGAAATTTATTCAATTAAAAATAAATAAAAAGAGAAGGAGAGAAAAGAAAAGTAAAAGAAAACCAGCTCTTTCTCTCTCTTCCCTGAAGAAGTGTGTAGGTGTAAAAAGGCGCTTAAAGATATTTAAAGTTAAATAATGTCACGTGGAATAAATTAGAAATACCAAGAAATATGAATTAAGAAGAAGAGTGTAAAGAATTCTGCAAAAGTAAACTGATTAAAAAAAATAAAAGAAAAGAAAACATCAAAGACACGTGCATCTGTAGTAATGTCATCTAAAACGTCTTTGTTTAAAAATTTTAAATTAAAATAAAAAAAAAGCATACAAAGACTGAAGAAGAGAGCTTCGGGCATGGAATCTGAATAATAAACATGTTTTATATTGTTAGATTCAAAGCATTTTTAATAACGTGTACTGTAGTTAATAACAAAATTTAACAGTAGTAAACTGTAAACAGAAACTAAACATTTAATGCAGATAAACAATGATTACCGACTGAAATGAAATGCTTCTTCAATTAGATTAGAAAATTTTTTAACACTAACAGCATTTTTTTTATATTTCTTCTCCAGAGAAAGTAAAATAAATTTACAAATAAATATAGCAATTCAGTCAAAAAAAAAAAAAAATGACTTGTTCAGAAATTTTTCCTTTACGTAAAAAGATCTTCCCATTCACATGATCAACAAAACACTAAACTTCAATTCTGCTTGTTTTCACTGGATAGAAGAAAATGACGCTCTGTCCTTGGGGAAATACGTCCATGCGAATTAAATTCATAACTTAGTCGAAGAAGAAGAAAAATACTCGCGATTAAGTAAAAAAGAAAAAAATTCTGCATTCATCTGTCTGTCTAGCTAGCTAGTCTCTCTAGTTCAATGAAGGGAGGATCTCTAAACTTTGTTAAGCAGAAGCTAATTACTTTAGCTACTTAAACAATATATATATATATATATATATATATAAATAAACATGGGAATAATTTAAGTGGTTCCACTAAGACAATAACAGAAAAAAAAACTTTAGATAACTAGATTTCGCATAGTCATTTTTTAATTTATTGTTAGTTGTCATTGTTTCACAAACTTAAAAATCTCCTTTTTTAATGACTAAAGAATGAAAATACGAGAAATCGGAAATTACGATATAAACGATTTATCTGGTGCTGGTCAAATCTTTTATCATAAAAAAGGATTTATTTATTTTATAAGTAAACATTCTCAGAATGTTTTTTTAAATTACTCGCAAAATTCATTTTGGGAGCAATTTCTTTACTTTACTGACAGTCAAAGAAAGATTGAAAAATTAATGCTGTCGGCGATTAAGAATCAGGCGTATTTGCACTATGAACGTAAAAAAAGATTGTATTTTTTTGTTTCTGTTATTCAAAATAGGGACATAAAGTAAGTAAGAAAACTAGTAACACGAACACGCGTGTTGCAGGTAGTTTTTTGAACTCCCGGTTAGAATGAGAAAGATTGTCAAAAAAGAAAGCCAGCAAATAAATGTGCGTGCCGATGAAATTAAAAATAAATGCGTGGAAAATTTAAGAGTCAACAAAGGATTTTAATTTTAACGACTGGACTTTTATAAATTAGAGATTGAAAAAAGCGAAATAAAGAGTTAGGACTCGGAATACACAGACTTTTTTCTAAACTAATTCATTATTTTTCAATGATTGTAAGGGAAAATAAAAAGTAAAAATACTTCTTTAAAGAAAATACCCATTTTTCTTTTTAAATGAGAGTAAAAAGAAAAAGTTAAAAAAGGTAGGAAAGTAGATACAGATATACTCACTTTTTAAAGGTTTTCTCTAAATCTTTAATTTGCTTTCTACTAAATTCTTTGAACTCCGTGTAAGGGTTGAAGACTTTATTGGCACAAGGTGGAGGGGTATCTCCAGCTTCGATGGCATCACTGATATTTATTCGACGATTTAATTTATTGGCCAGTTCATCAGTAGCCATGCTTTGAAGGTTCTGTGAGTTCTTTGGAGACAGAATTAAAAAAAAAAATAAAAATTGTGCGTGTGTGAAAATGTCTCTAGTTGTTTGTGGAGTCAGGCAGTCTCGTCCGATCCACTCCCGACACACAAAAGCCCAATAATGTACAAGTTGCTAGTTACAGTAGATAAAAGTCAGCTGCTGGGGGTAAGTAGGTAGGTAGGTGTAGTGTAGTGTAGAACCACTACAGATGGTCACGCTAATTTTTTTTTTCTTTCACGGCTTGCTGCTTGTGACACAGTCGTTTGCGATGAGAGGAAGAGTATGAACAATTTTGCCAGTGAAAACGAATTAATACGACGATGGATTGACGGCACAAAGTGTATTTCCTACTTCGATGACGTCATCATGTTTTGACATCCGCCACTTTCTTTAGTTGGCACCACAAGATGAAGTAAAAAAGTGGTTGAAAAGAAGGGAAGATCATTTTTTTCCTTCAGTTTGTGATGATTCCTTATTTGAAAGCAATAAAATGTAAAGTTGACATAACTAACATTAAACATATTAAAAATAAAATTAAACGAAAAATCTTCTTCACCTGGTTTAGATTTGAATTCTTTATTCTTTGCTAAAAAATATCAAGTTATAATTTTTTCTTTGTTTCATAATTTTCTCTCAGTTAAAAAAAATCACTTTATGGGATAAGAGAAGCTTGTTATTAAATATGAGACTTCTGAAGGCTTTTTGTAAGGTTCTGCACATTGTTTTGAAATAGTAAGAGTTCTTTCAATACATTGTTCATTTATGTAGCTTATATTTTTAAGCCCAAATGTCACTAAAATAAATTCATTACATTTTGAGAAAGTTGAACTGACAAGGAAATAAAAGGTAAAAGTGGTATATAACTCTTGGTTATGTTCATTATAGCAAAGGCAATAAATAGTGAAATAAAGGGTGAGGGAAAAGAGAAGATTATATCCTTTTTATCTGAATTTTTGAGATGAGGAATTACACTCATTTCCAGTAAATCAGTGTATAAAAGAGAAAGAGGCAGAGAGATCTTATTTGAAAATTAAAAAGTAAATTGGAGTCTTTCAGAAATATTTCCTTAAAATAATTTCTAAAGAAATTCCTATGTACTTTTCAACTATTTGTTTTCTATAATTTTCAAAATCTAATATATCTTTCAAACACGACTTTGCTGTGATGTGTAATAAAAAAATCTCTAAAATATAATGAAAGAGTAATTACTGGAAATCTAAGAAAGACAATAAATAAAATGACAACTGTTTTGATTGTAACTGATCATCTATTTATCTCAAATAATATCTATACTCATAAAAATGATGATATGCAAATCTATGGGGTTCTTCCCAGATAACAGTTTCAATTAACACCTTAACACTTAACCTAAACAGGGTGTTTTTTTTGTGCACTTATTGTTCAATGTGAAATTGAAACAGAAAGAAATTGTTTATTTTTACAATAATTTCTGTGAAAAGGAAGATAGGTATAGGAGCTTGCTCAAAATATTTTTTGAATGCCTAAAATATTAATCTAGTTAGAAAAAATGTTCATAAGAAAATGAAGATTTACTGTAGTAGGTGAAGTTATAAAAGTTCTTGGTAGAGAGTGTAAGGTGTCAGCAAAGTTCATGAAGTATTGTCAAATTTTGTTGAGCCATTTGGGAGTTGATAAGTCAACACAGTAGGAGTGTCCATTTATTAAATGGAAATAATTTTTTTTTTTTTTTTTTAATGTTGTTCAATATAAGGCCCAAGAGCAACTCAAGTAGAAAGTTACTGAGGAGAGATTACCTGCCAGCTTCCAGTCATCTAGATTTTTGGTGGTGCTCACATAAACCGTGGTATTGTCTGTATATATATTTATTAGTGATCTGAGAATGTCTTAGGTAGATCATTAATATAGAGCAGAAAAATGATAGGACTGAGGAGAGAGTCTTCAGTGACACCTAGATTGATTATATGGGCTTCTGATAAATGAATATCATTTGTGGTAAACTTTCAGAAGTTGGCACAGCCTTATAAAATTATAGTGGAAGAGTGTAAGTTGACATCATATTATTGAGGGAAAATGTGGTGTGGTTGCATGTTTTTTCAGACTAGCATGTTCAGAATTATCTGTTTTAAATTTTCATATGTTGTCATAGAGTTCTTTGAAGGTCACTGAGTATTTCAGAATTCAGTGTCCTCTTTTCTCAACTTACTGCTAAAGTTAATTGTTCTGTTGGCGGCATCTCTCCAGACTACGCAAACATGAACTGTATTGTGAGGAATTAAAACAAATGACCACTTTCATTTTATTTGTGCTGGCCAGTTCACTAAACTATTTTTCAAAATGTTTTAGATTTCAAATTCTGTCCTTTTGATTGGTTGAGAATAATTTTGAGGAGTCCTTTTCCTTTATTTTTCCAGTATATTCTTTTTTTTTTATCCCAAATCAGACATTGTGTTGCTTCAGTCTTTTTAGCTTATAAGATTGAAAGTATGATGTCATTATTGTAAGTATTTTGAGTTTATTATAACTGTGGTTTTTCTATCATTATTTTGGTATTTTATGAAAATACATCAATAAATATATAGCCCAATAATGAAAAATGCATTTGTTTTACACAACAAATATTTGTTTTTAAGATAATTTCCTTCCTTGTTAATATGCCTATTCAAATGTTTCTCCATTAATCACATAGATCAAAGATTATACAGTAGAAATTTCAGATCAAAATTTAAATAATAAATATATCTGGCTATGCACTTATTGATTCCTCTTGATATGTTGATGAAGATTGTATTTGACTGCAGTAAGGCAAATGAAATTAATATAAAAGTCAACTGCATTAACATTTTTGTTAGGTTATACAAATAGTAGAGTGATTTCCCTAAAACTCTTACATTAAAGTGCATTAGATGCATCAGAAATTAACTTAAAGGTTTTGAAGGATATTAAATGCTAATTGTAATTATAAATTGCAAACATGATTAGTTCAATCCACCCATAAAGTTTTCACTAAAGGACAATATGAACAGAAATTTTAGTCTGTCTTGCCAGTATTAATTATTTCATGGATTTATTTCTTTAATAATGTCAAGTTTTTAAAGATATGAACCAATAAAAGTAGCAAGTTGTAAGGTGTTTCAGGGGTTTCATAAATATCTCTATTATATGAATGAGAAAAAGTTGTCTTGTGTTATTTGTAATGTTGGGAACTTGAATGGAATTATATAAATTTTCAAACTCAGAAAATTCAGAGAAAAAGAATTTTCATATATACACAATTCTGAAAAAAAGAATGTAAAAATCTATGTCAGTTCTAAATGACAATAATAGATAGTATAATTATGATAATAGATGTTTTATGATATTACAAATGTTTCATATGATGTTTGAAGATTTGTTACTGTATAAATAAAAGAAATCTATAACTAAAAAAATAATATTCTTTACTTATTTTTCAGAACAGAAATAAACTATTATTAAATATATAGATAGATAGATAGATAGATAGATAGATATAGCTAGCTAGCTTTCTCTTTTAATTAAAGTAACAATTTTAAATTTTAAATTATAGTTAGGTATATGCATTGAGTATGTTATTTTGTAAAAGATACCTTTTGTGTTCATATAATCTTTTATTTAAATTCATTAAAATTTCTCCTATGTATTATTTGTGGACATTATTCCAGGTGATAGAGTAAATTCTTCTTTCAAGTTTTAGCTATTATTTTGTTTTGTATCAATTAAGTTTTTATTTTGAATTAGTTGTAATGAATATTGTTAAGCTTAGATAAATTCTTTTCAATTGTAGTTGTGATAGAGTTGCTTGGGTAGAATAATATATTTTGATTCATTGGATTTGTCAGAATGGTCCACTCTTCTATTTTGAAATATTTTGCATTGAATATGAAACAATTAGGTAGCTTAAAATTATTTTAATAGAATCCAATAATTATTCTGGATTTTATTGTTATTGTGAGAATAAAAAATTATGAGATCATTTCTATTAGTTGATTTGTGATGGACATTTAGTTTTAGTTCATTGTCAGTAACATGATTCTAGGAAAGCTAAAGTGCTATTTGTTTCTGTTTTGTAAATGAATTCTGTCATATGTTCAACTTTGTTTAGACTATCTACAAAGTCAGGTAATATAGTTTTGCAGTAAAAAAGAAAAAAATACTTATATTTAAAAGTTTAACATTTCAGTGTCCCCTCTCATTCATTTGCCTGTGTAGCTACATCAGTGTAAACATCATTTTAGTGCAATGAAGTCCTAAAGGATAAGACACATCACACAATTTTTTTTTTATTATAAATAAAACAACTCTTTGTTTCAATTCCACACTGAGTAAGAGCCCTTTTTTGTGTATCTAATGAGCCAACAAATTTTATAAGTTTTTTTCTATGTGAGAAAATTCCATTTGTTTGTAAAATTTTAATTTTTCTCTTAAATATTTTGTATTCATTCAAAAACATTTCGTTAGCAGATAAAGTAAATAAAAATATTTTTTTATTTTCTTTAGTAGAACTGGATTACAATATTTTGTTCATTTTTATATAAGTAAAGAGAGCAAAATTTGAAATAAATATAGATTATAGTTTAGTTTTTAAAGAGAGCAAGATTTGAAATAAATATAAGTTTAGTATTTTGAGTAGTTAATAATAATCTATTAACCAATAGGTAGTTATGATTTTTTTGTGTCTAAAGACATGATTGGGAATTATATTAATGAGGTATTTTCAAAAGGTACTGATATTCAGAGAACTTAAAATGATTACTTAGCTACTTATTTTAGTGCATCATTTTACTTACATGCCATGTGATGCAAACAATAGTGCATTATTTAAACAAATTAGCCATAAATAATCAACAGTATTTTTTTATAGATATTTTTTACTTGCCAACAAAAACATTTTATATTTATATAAGTAGCAAAGTAATTATTCTAAGTAATGTGATTAATTGAAATAAGTGTTGTGTAATTTATTGTATTTTCAGAACTTCAAA